GGGAGACCTCTGAAGAAGAGGGTGATGAGTAGTTTCAATTGATTTCGTACGATGTGGCTTAATTGACTTACACAAATGGCTGGAGGGTAGTGAAAGGTGGGCGGCTCGCTATGATGGGCGACTCGCTATGCATATACGTTAAGTAGGGAATTGAGTTTATGCCTAGAGCCGATATGTGTGACAAAAAAGATTGCGTTCTACGCTGGTATCAAATAATCTAGGGAGAAAAAAAGGGCTACAGATGAAGGTATCGCTGTTGTCGTACATGCGTGAGCGTGCTGGTATGAAGAATTGTAGGAAAGCCCTACTCATAAGAAACCAAAAACTCCTACGCCCGCCTGGCGCCGTGCTCACAGTCGCATCTGAACATCAAGTTCACGAGTCGTCCTGGTCCATGAAGAACTTGACAATCTCCTTCAAATCAAACAGGGTGACGCCGCGGCGTGGATAGCAGATATACACCTGCTCACCGAGAACGCCAAACTTGTCTCTGAACTCGGCCTTCCTACCAAGCCCGAGACTCTTGACGATGGCCGCGTACGTTTTGCTGAGGAACTTAGCCCGGGCGCCGTGCAAGTGTTGCCCTGGGACAAATCGCTCGCTGACGCCGGCGCCAAAGGTGACGGGGCCCGAGATACATGAGAGGGCGTATTCAATGAGGACCTCGATGGTGCCGTGCGGGGCGTTTGGGAAGTCGAGAGCCCACTTCACCTGCCAGCCGTACCGCGGCGCCAGCTGCGCGAGTACGACCATGCAAAGGACCTCGCCGTCCTTTTCGGCCGAGAAGTAGCGGCGGTGTGACTGATCGATCCATGGGCGGATCTCCGTCATGTGGACTTGCTTCTTCTCCTTGCGCTTCTCTTTCCATGCGGCGATGGACTTGTCGGCGCGGCTGATGAAGTCTTCGTTGGGCTTCACCTCGTGAATCTTGATACCCTCACGTTTGACGCGACGAGCAAGGCGGTTATCCGGGGCGGTGTGCTGGTCGGCATCGGCGCGTTGCTCTTCGGTGCAGGACATGGTTCGCCAGCCGATGCGCCGACCGAGAATTTCCTGGACTTTGTTGGAGACAAGCATCCACACGGGCGTGAGCTTGAGCTCCTTCGTGACGAATTCGACAAAGGCAGGAATGACTTCCTCGTATTGGCCGCGGTCGCAGAGCGGATCGCCAGTGATCATGACAAACTTGCCTTGCTTGACGTAGCCGACGGCCGCACCGCTGCTATGGCGCCATAGCTCAAAGCGCTCGTCCAGCCAGGATGTGTTGGTGGCGTCACCATAGTTAGCGATGAGTTCTTCGAGAGCTGGCATTTCTCTGCCTGCCCAGATTTTGGTGGTGTCTGCGTTGGGGTGGGGGAGGTTGAAGGAGCGTTGAGGTAGGGACTTAGGGTCGCGGTAGAAGAGTGAGCCGTATCGAATATCACCCAAGTTGAGAAGGAGGAAAACGATGCGGTCGAGACCAAGACCTGCACCACCGTGTTGGGGAGCGCCCAGGTCGAATGCCTCGAGATACTCAGACATTTCGTCTTCCGAGATTCCATTCTCGGCCATGCTCTTTCGCAGTTCCTTCGGGTTATTGATGCGTTGGCCGCCAGTGCAAATTTCCTGGCCTCGGACGAAGATATCGAAAGAGTTTGTCCAGAAGGGGTCCTCGGCTTTATGAGTATAGAATGGACGGGCGTTGGCGGGAAATTTGTCGAGTATGTAGTAGTCAGTTTTGTACTTTTCCTTTACTAACTCTCCGAGTCTGATCTCGTCTCGAGTTGAAAGGTCTTCATCGGCGACGTCTCGGCCGTCATCGCGCAGCATCTGCAGCCCCTCGGGGAAGGGGATGATGGGAGTCTCCTCAAGCCAGACGAGATCTTCACTTGGCCACCTCTCCCGGATGATTTTGAGCTCAGGCATGGCGTGCACTGCCGTAAAAATGTTCTTGAGAACCTGGTCGAGAACCTTCAGAAGCTCGTGGTAATGCTTGTGAATCTTCATCTCAATGTCGAGGCCGGTGTACTCTGTCAAGTGGCGGTGGGTGTTGGAGTTCTCGGCACGGAAGACAGGGCCAACCTGCGGGTGTCAGTAACGGTTCATCCCAAGGTGTCATTCAATGCGATGCATACCTCGTAGACCTTGCCAAAGTCGGCTGAAATTGCCATCTGCTTGGCCAACTGGGGGCTCTGGGCCAAGAAGGCGCGACGGCCAAAGTAGTTGAGCTTGAAGACTTCTGCGCCGCTTTCTGTAGCAGCTGGCTGCAGCTTGGGTGTTTGAATCTCAATGAAGCCATTGTTGTCGAGGGTTTCGCGGAACTTGCGTGTGATCATGGCACGGACACGGAAGAGGGCTTGGTTGGAGGGATGTCGCAGGTCGAGGACGCGGTTGTTAAGCCTATTGTTCATGCTCTCAGGCGGTTGGTAATTACTGAAAGGAGGCGCCTGCGCGGGGTTGAGTAGGTGGATGGAGTAGATGTCGACCTCAACATCATGGTGATACGCTGACTTGACATCCTCGACGGGTTTCTTCAGAGAACCGGAAACCTGGACGATGGACTCAGGGTGCAGCCGTTGCACCCACTTCACCATGTTTGGCGTCACGTCATGCAGTACGCCCTGGATGGTATCGGTCTGGTCGCGAAACAGAATAAAGTCGAGGTGCTTGGAGATGTTGCGCTGTGTGTGGATTCGGGCGCGGAAGGTGACTTTGGAACCAACACCTAGTTGGCCCACCTCGGCGATGGTGTTGAGTTCGGTTGGGTAGTTTTCCTCGCTTCCCTCGCCGTAGCGGGCTTTCGTCTCGTCGTCTTCGATCTTGCGAGCCTCCTCGTATTCTCGCCTCCTGCGCTCTTCCAGCTCGCGCTCCAGCTGCTCCCGACGCTCCTGCTTCTGGCCCCGTTCCATCCTCTTCAGCTCGCCACTCCTCGTCGGGCTTCTTCCGTAGCTAGACTTGCTTGAACCACTCGATTGACTAGTCTTACTCGACCTCGGCGTCTGCTTCTCGTATACGGTCGTCTTGGTGGTGGACGGGGTGGACTGGTCCGAGTTGCTTTTCATCGACAACCTGTGCGCAATACGCGACAGGGGGTTCGTCGAGGGCGGTGCCCTTGGGGTCTCTGATTCCATCATATTGATGTTGGTGTGTCACTGTCGCCGCCCCTTGGCGAATTTCGGGTGTATGATGTGTGTAGATGCCGTTGGTTTCTGGGCAACGGGTATTAGGAAGAATACGTCGTGAGAAAAGCCAAGACAAGTTTTGGGGGAGGAGGGGATATATGGGTAGATCACTGCAGGTACCAGTCTGGACACACGGGACTTTGAGGACGAATGAGCAAGAAGCAGAACGAACGGGAGCTGGGGAGGGTGGATGACAAAAATAAAAAGGGTGGCATGGACAAGAAGGACACCGACAACAGTCATGATGAGGGCACTCGGCGCACATCAGAGTCCGCGGCGGACAAGGCTCTCCGCCCGGGAGGAACGCTGTTGCTACCTGCAATACCCGTCCAAAGCTTCAGCCCTTTACATTGGGCATCAGGTACGTGTGACTTGGCCATGATCAAGCAGCCGCGACTTCAGACCGCGCAAGTCTTGGTTCCGGGCGGCGACCAAGACGCTTACACGGCAGGACGGCAGGGCGGGCATGTTCCAGACTGACGTTCGGGTGGTGGTGAAAATACGTCAGGGCGCCAAGGGCAGCGACGAAGTACACGGTAACTGCGGGAAGGAGTACCTGCCCTACCTCTACCTCTATTGTGCCGTTGCGGACAGGGCAGGCACGAGTCGAAAAAAGTTTGCCGAAAGCAACGGAGAAAGGCAGGAGCAATGGATCGATCGCAGGTGCATCGGACAACACTGGGTGGTGGCCCCCGGTGGTCCCTTCCCTGGCAAGACGCGAACTCACGTCGTGACTTCCTCACTCTTTTTTTTTTAGAGTGAGAAGTTTCCTCGCCTTCCTGCCGCGGCGACCATGTGGTGTCAGTGCAGCGTCATTTGGTGTGGGACATGGCACGTGCACTGCGGTACGTACCGCCAGAGGCACGGGAAGAGAGGAAACAGCAAAGGGCCGGGGAAGGTGGAAGGGGCAAGGGAAGGTCACGGACGGCGAAACCACGCTCATGACTGGCTGATATCATATTGCAGCGGCCAGTCGAGGACCGTTTGCTCCGGGGCAGATCCCTGATGCCCTACACCTTACTATGCAGTACTCACACTCTAGTCTGCTGGTAGTGTGGTGGAAGGCAAGGTCGTCTCCGCTGCTTCCCGTCTTCTGGCATCGTCTGGAAACCGCGACATCTGCATCCCGCAGGTAGCTCCGATCACATCCCGGAAGGTACGGCCCCACACCTGCCCTCTGCTGCACCTGGTGAGCCTCTACTGACGTCAGATCGCCGGCACCCGTCGAACCCCGTCGCTGTCTAGCCACGTCTGCCACCTTCCCATCGAGTCACATTCTCGAACCAGGTCGACAGTCGCTCTTCCAGCTCATCCGCCGCGCCGTTTTCCTGCTACCGCTCTGCCGTTGTCATTGCAACACCCCGACACTGCTCTAGTCACTGTCCCGGTCTCAGGCTGGCAGGTTTTCGTCTCTAGACAAGCCGCAGCTATCCAATACCACGACGCATCCAACACGCTTTTGTGCCGCACACTAAAGGCTCGACGTGCCGACATCAACACCCTCATCGCCCAAACAGGCTACCTCGCCAGGCTGATCCTCCCCTCCAACTCGAATAAGAGACCCCGATCTCATCTGCCAAGGCTGTCCCGGCTGCCGCAGGGCACCTCCGCCAAGTCCAACCAACTTTCAACGTCAACGACACCTGACGCCCAACCTCCACCACCAGCCCGGAGCCGCCAGTAGCCCGCCGACCTTTTACCTCTCCGGGTGCCACCAAAAGCTTCCTATCGAGCTCTTGATTTGTCAACCCGTCTCCATCTTCCCTCCTTCTCACTCCTTCCATCCATTATCAATCGTCCTCTGTTTCCGTCGGACCCGGACGACAGCGGCCCCCATTGGCCTCACCGCATCCGTCGTTCGACAATGTTCTTTTGATTTGCGTCCGATAGTCCGAATTTCTCAGCACCCACCGGCCACCAACCCGTCACCTGCAGCTGCATCGCTTCCGCGCATTCCGCACTCCCAATGAAGTCTAACAGGCTCACACGCACCGTCTCCAACATATCGAACCTGTCCAAGTCTAGCAAGAACGGCAGCAAGAACGGGAGCAAGGCCAACAGTAAGGTCAATAGCGCCGCTACCAGCAGAGCCGGTACTCCCGACGGTGAATATGAAAATCCACTGGAGAACATCGCTCGTTGGCGCCTGACCGCCAACGCGGTCGCACTGCGCTCCGGGGCCGCCTTTGCCTTCGGGCTGCAGAACCTGTCCGCTCCCGTTCCTCCCGCTGCAAATAGGATCATCTGGCTAGACTCAACATTGTCAGAATGGTCTGGTCCAGAGAAGATCAGGGTCGATGTCTACCTTCCTCCTCACACGAAGGCTGGCAAGGCCACCGGGAACTTCCCTGCCGTCGTCAACTTTCATGGCGGAGGCTTCATCCTGGGACAAGGAACCGATGACGCCCGATGGGCCGGCGCCGTAGCTTCGGCACTCAACGCCGTCGTCTTCTCCGTCAGCTACCGTCTGGCTCCGGGCTTTCCCTTCCCTACCCCGGTGGAGGATGCTGCCGACTCCATCTTGCAGATCGTTGCACGTGCAGATGAGTTCCTCCTCGACAAATCCAAAGTCTTCGTGTCGGGTTTTTCGGCCGGAGGCACGTTGGCCCTCGCCAGTTGGAACCTCCTGCAAGAGCCAGAGAGGTGGGGTTATGAGCTTAAAATCCCGGTCCCCGAAATTTCCGGGATCGTGCTCTTCTATCCGCTCCTCGATTGGACAATCACGAGGCCAATGAAGCGCGAGACATGTGGCAGGCCAGACATGACTCTGCCAAAGGGCATGACCGATCTCTTTGACGCATCCTATGTCTACCCTCCTCGGCCCAGGTCTGAGCGCGACGATCCGCGGCTTTCCCCGGGACTGATGTCAGACGAGATGATAGACCGGCTCCCACCCATTCACCTATGCATGTGCGAATACGATATGCTGCTATTGGAGGGACAGAAGTTTGCTGAAAGGGTTCAGACCCGTGGAGGCCGGATCAGCACTCGCGTGGTCGACACAGAAAAGCATGCATGGGATAAGCCGCCACCATTTACACCAAAAGAGAGTGTCATGGTGGAGTATCACAAGGCCATTGACGCCCTTAGAGGATGGCTTGGCTTAGGCGCTTTAGAAAGCGATGAAATATTCGATGGGACGATACCAAGGATAGAGATTACTAACGACAGCGAAGACAGTACATGAGATGATTGGAGCGATGGGCTTCATTAATATGGAGTGTAGGTTACGTTGCTACAGTTTTGTCCTTACTTTCCACTTGGCAGATATCCAATACAGCGTAACGCACTGTTTCATTCAACCTGCCGAGACTTTGAAAGCTCGTGCTAGTGAACAACCAATGCCCAGACTGGTCTAATCGCATTTGACCTGCCAACATGGCATGCGTGATGTCTCACAGCTCCCCATGCAATCCTGCGAGACGACACGTCTGCATAACAGCATCTGCATTCGCCCACATGTAGCATCTACACCTGAGCGTATGATACATGGTTCGAATCCTCGATAATGCCATTGTTGAGTTGATTACGCCGCGCACAGATATTGTTGAAAAGAGAGGAGACGTCCGAGGGCTCTCGGTCCCGAGAAGGGAGGGCCAGCACCCGTGTTGAACCACCCCGCGATTGGCCTCGTCTGAAGTTGGCGGATCAGATGACTTGGTCACGTTCATCTGGTCAGTGCTTTCCTATCGACGTACTTTTGTTGGGTTTCAGCAAGCGGGCTTGGTGCGTTATTGCAGTTGATTGTTTGCAATTATTCCATATTCATTGGCTTGCAAATAGCATCGGCTGCTCTGTGTACACTAGGTAGGCTTTTGGAGCGGATGCACGAGTTACTGTGATCAACTGGGGATTGCCAGCAGCTTCGTTCACCTGCTGCCGTAGTTGGGGAGATATGCTGAGGTCGGCGAGTGTAGCTTGCGGGTGCTCGTTCTTCCGAAAGAGGCGACTTGGAGGCTCTTCCTCAGTGTCCTGCACGCATGTATGATGACCTAGGTTAATTGTACACAGGTTCTCACTTGGATGATAGATGCCAACTCCTGCGTCATTCCCGCGCTGCAATGATAGGCACTGTGAGGATATTGATCTGTGGCCTCGGTTCCCCGACTTTCGGTCGCGGTGAGAGCCTCTTGAAATTGACACGAATATTTGAGACGGTAGAAACATTGGCAGGTGCCAGTGTTGAATATGAGTTTGGGAGTTCCCTAACTTCAACGGTAGAGTTGAAGGGGCCTGTGAGAAAAATAGAGAGACAGAGAGGAGGCGGCAAATGCGTCTTGGTACTTGTTTATTTTGCTTTCATCTCTGAGGTCTTGTTCTTATGTGCCTTTTTCGCGCAATTAGACTAGTAACAGGTAGATGCGCGCCTCGAAATGTCAGTAACTCTTTCGATACTAAGCAAGGATCGGCCGCCTCAGACTAGGCCTCCATTCTCAAGAGCAGAGGATCCTTAGCACGATCGCATCGTGGGGTCTGTTACAGGGATCGGCCGCCACAGTATGGAGTTGAGCTAGCGCCCCAGGTCAGATCACATCCTGACTATTTGATCCATAGTACTGTATTTTAGTGCACCAAAGTGCTTGCCATGAACAAATACTCACCGGATCCACGATTCACTCTCACATCTATGGGATGCTTGCTTGGTTCGGATTGGCGGAGGAGTTGAATCTAGCCTTGGTCTAGATTTTTGCCGAATGGGACTTTTGATAGGCTTTTAGAGGTCCAGCGTATTGTACAGGTGATGGGATTCTGCGGCAGAGCGCCTCTTCAGCCATTTGCCTGGAGGACTGTCAGCATGGTACTTTGAAATCAGGCTGATACACTAATCAATGTATTCTTCTGACTCTGACGACCTTATGCTGGCCGTTCCAATGAGTCGGGACTTTGCTAAGGTGTCTCGACACTTGCAAGACGGCACCGATACACCAACATTCCCGCCTGGCTCTCGGCCCGGTCCCGCTTTTCAATATAAAAACTGGCTCGCGCTGGGCCCTAACAAGCAAGTCGTTTTTGGATCTTTTGTTCAAGCCTTTATTCCTCGCTTGCGACTAGCGAAAGCGGCTCAGCGAACCCCTGGAACGGCAATACAGTCATCCACGATGCCGCGTCAGACCTGCATCGTGCTTCCGTACCGTGCACGATCTGGGCCTCGGGACCCTGCTAGCCTTACGGGGCTGGGGGGAGACGATTGAGGCAGTTCCCTTAGGTGATCGTGAGCCTTGTTTGGCGGGGTCTGTCATCTGGCTTGGAGGTTCGTCACGACTTCGCTAGGTCTTACTGCGGTTGACCGCTTGCTGCTTTACAAGGGCGAGGTCGGCCGCCCGGACGCCGCGGTGAGGTCTAGTCGCTGCGGACAGGATTTTAAGATGGATACGGTACGTTGAGTATGGAACTTTGGTGTTTATACTGCGATCGTGTGACTGGGCGAAGCACAAGGCGAAGTGCTCCTACCGGATTCACCTACTGTGTATCCTCTCACGGGGCGGGCGATGCTCAACACGGGACTTTGGTGCTGACCTCTTGCGGAGATAACACTTTGTGGGCAAGTACTTACAATATCCAGTTGCGAAAATTGAAGCCTTAGTCCTCCACGACGAGACAATCTCGTATATAAAGCAGCTCGAGACCATCATCCATCATCCTTCCTTTCCTCTCTCCTCAGCAGCTCAGCCAATTCAAGTCCACAACTACCTGCCTCTAATCTATAATTCCACAATGGTCAACTTCGTCCTCGGCGCCGTCGCCACCCTGGCCGCTGTGGCCCCCCTCGCCGCCGCCGCACCCGCCGCAACTCCGGCCCCCGAGATCTTCTCCTTCGCAAAGTGGGTCGACGGCATCATCGCCAACCCGTACGGCGACAACCTCACGCCCGAGGAGGCCGTCGAGGCGTACTACAAGTCCGTCAACGCCTCCGAGGCGGCTTCCTTGGACTGGGACTACGGCCGCGCTCGCAAGCGTGACGATGCCGCTGAAGGAGCTTCCCCGGAGTGGGATTACGGCAAGCGTGACGAGGTCCCTGAGGCAGCTACCCCTGACTGGGACTATGGCCGCGCTCGCAAGCGTGATGATGCTGATGAGGCAGCTACCCCGGACTGGGACTACGGCCGCGCTCGCAAGCGTGACGATGTCACTGAAGGAGCTACCCCGGAATGGGATTACGGCAAGCGTAACGAGGTCCCTGAGGCAGCTTCCCCTGACTGGGACTACGGCCGGGTTCGCAAGCGTGCCACCTGCAACACCATCGCCGGCACCCAGGCTTCGGTACGATTCTTCGCAGTGCCCTCTCAAAATCCCGAAGCGGCCACATGACTGACTCTTTGGATTGATAACAGGTCGCCGACGCCGTCTCGTGCATCAACTACCTCGCCGGCCTCGGCAGCACATCGTGCGTTGTCTCTAACGCGAAGAGCCACTTCTGCACCATCGGCAATGCGCAGATCACGGGCGTCACTTCGGGCAGCATTCCCGCAGCCTCTTCCTGGTAGGATCCTCCTTCCCCTGCACTCTCAAAACCTTAAGAATTCCTATGTTTGGCCCGAGTTGAGGAGCATTTTGGCTGAAGAAGGAGAGATATGCTGACGGTGTTTGCCCCTGGTTTAGCAATGATGTCGCCCGTGGTGCTGGCTATATCATGGATGCGTGCACTCTGAAGGACAACACTGTCCAGGGTTCTGAGTTTGCGTACGGCAACGGGGATCTTCTCGTTTGGATCCGCAAGCCTGAGTAATCGCATTGAATCTTGAATTGTTCAGTTGTGGCAATAGTAGGCGATGTGGCAGCTTGCGAAATACGCAACTGCTTACAGAGAGTAGACAGGGGAAGTTGAAAGATGTGTTGGGCCGTAAATAGCAGTTGGTGGTGATGGACGCAATTATCTCCTCGTTACTTTCGCTGCATATATATCCTACAAATCATTTTCACGAGAGTGTGAAATAACTTCATTATTCATGTGTTAATCGCTCGAATATCTACACTATTAGGAACCCTTAAGTGGTTTGAGTACTACACTGGAACACTTTAGTGAAGGAGAGCGCTCGCAGCAGTCAGGTTCAGGCCAATGGTCATATTGCCCAGAACGGAGCTGGCGAGCCAGTTTCCAAGATACGAGTTCACATCCTCAGGCTTCTCCCACATCACCCAGTGAGTGCCGTTCACCTCACCCCGCGACAGGCTGTTAAAGTAGGTCTCCATACCCGTCGACAGCACCGGAGGCAGCGCCGTATCCAGCGATCCACCGATGTACAGCGCGGGCTGCGTGTACTTAGCCGTGTATGACGCATTCGCCGGCACCAGCGCCAGCTCGTCCTGCCAGTTGAGCTCGCCGGTGCGGTACCAGTTAAGCGTCCTGTTGAACGGGTCGCTGACGTAGTTTTCGACGTAGTAGTCCATCTCCTCCGCGGTCAGCAGCGGTGTGTCCTCCGTCACCTCGTCGAGCAGCTCAAACGTGAACCCCGCGCCGCTCGAGTTGAAGGCCGACCCCCCACCGGGGGGTCTGACGCCGTAGATAGTGTTCAGGATCTGGCGCACGCGGGTTGCGTTCTGGGCGTCGGGGAGGCCGATGTAGTCCTGGACGGCATCGGTGCGGAACTGCTGTTGGTAGTGCAGTGTGGGCAGCGCGACGGCCTGGTCAATGTATGTGAGGCGCGGGGCCGCGAAGGGCGTGCTGATGACGAAGAAGGCAGAGATCAGCTCGGGGTGCCAGAGGGCGGCGCGGTAGACCACGGCACCGCCCCAGTCGTGGCCGCCGAGGATGATGCGGGAGAGGCCGAGATGGCTAGCGAGGGCGGCGATGTCGTCTGAGGCGCGCTTGAAGGTGCTGGACAGGAACGGTAAGCATCTTCCCAGAGCATAGCATGTTATGAGTCTCAACTCACTAGAAGCTAACATCTTCCGGCGCATCCGTACCGCCGTAGCCCATCATGTCAGGAGCGACAACCCGAAGGCCCTTTGAAAGAAGGTAAGGGATCTGGTTGCGCCATCCCAAGGACATATCAGGCCATCCGTGGATGAGGAAAATCGTGCCGACGACATTGCCTGAAGCCGGCTCTGCGAGGATGTAGTTGTACTCGACGCCGTTCAGCGTGGCGGTCTGGTACTTGACCCGAGAGTCATTAAGAGTTACGACAGACATCACGGCAAGCTCAAAAAGAATGTGAATGCAGTTGGTGGTGACGCCGGTGTCGTGCGTAAACAAAACAATCCCATATCGGCCGAGGGGTTCCCGTCCACTATATACAAACACTACCAGGCCACTCAGGTTCCTCGGCTGACACCATTTTGCATTGGGTAATAAAGCTTAGCAGAAAAAAAGGCGTGCCTCGGTTGCACCTATTGTGGATATAAAAGCCGTTTTCTTTGAGATTGCCAAGATGATGCCCCTTTCTGTGGTGCTATTTGTGGAGTGACATGGGCGAAATGTTCCCTCGGAATACCCAGAAACAGCTAGGAACAGTGGCAGCGCAGCGAGGACAGCCCGGGACAAGGTTAATTAGGTGTAGCGGGGCCTCCGACTGGCGTGGATTTGGGGTAGGGGTTGTTTTGATGCGTCTGACTCGGGCCGGGAGCAGACGACGTCAATCCAAGCTCGTTCTCGCACACCGGGTAGGGCGCGATATGAAAAACACGAGAAACATTGGAGATGCGCTTACTGTTTTCATGCTCTCGTGGGCAGCCGAGTGTGGTCTTCATCTGTAAGGGGCCTGGTCAAATGGCCGGCCTCGTGCAACTAGAGAGAGACATTGATCGGAGAAATGTTGAGATGCGAATGTCTATTAAAGCACAACACCTTTCTCACATTGGAACAAGTTGCAATATCTAACTCGTCTCGGCGATAAGACGCAACCAATGCCTAAGTTATTTGATTGTCGAGGATCGATATCACCTTAGACATATCTGAGTCAACGCCGAGGTTCGAGGTTCAGGTCCCGAGGAGCTATTAACCGCTAGCTCATGCAGTGCAACGGCACAACCTCGACAAGATCCGCGGCACACTTCAAAGGATTCTTCGACCCAAATGGCCAAGACAATATTTTTATGCATTACTCATGGACACCCGCTGAGTCTGGAACTTGAGGTTCAGCAGCCCAATCTTCACTACTCAAGGCTAGACCAGCAAGAACTCTTCTACACATTTTTAGACTACCCTTCTTGAGCAATTGTATCGACCCAGACAGGTACTGAAATATCAGGGAAACTGTACTGGAATCAAGTTGACCGCTGCAATAAGCCATTCTAGCGGCCGTCAACCTTTTGAGGCAGCCGATCAGTCCAGCGGCCCGTACCGCGGAGGCATCTGAAACTCCACATGGGGTTTGTTCTTCAACTCCTCCGGCACCGGAGGCATGACCTCCATTCCCTCCAGCAAAATAACCTGTTGCCCGCTCTGCCATTGGGTTCGTGTGAGTGACCGAGCGACTTTACAGCTTGAGACATTAAGGCTTACCGCGAAATGATGGATCATGTGACAATGCAGCATGCTGACAGCGGGAAAATAAATCTTGTAGCGGACCACGACGAACTTTCCTTCCCCCGCTTGCAAAGTAAATCCGTCTCGGTAAGGCGGATTATCTAGGTTGAAGTATTTTCCGCCCCCGTGCTTAATGGCGTCGTCGACATCTTTCCAAGGAAAGCCGCCTTGCCCCTGTCCGATGATGAAGACCTTGTGGTTGTGCTTGTGGAAAGGGTGGCTGGCGTCGACTTTGGCTCCATTCTCAATGATCAAATCGACGACGGATCCGTTCTTGAGAAATCCATGTGGATTCCCCCATGACGTTTCGCCGCGCGACTTTTCGTTCCACAAAATGGGAGGGACATTCTGACGGAAGAACTCATGTGGGGCTGCATTGAGAACCCATGTCGATGGTCCCGTGTTGTTGACTGTGAATTTCAGCGTGAAATCCGCTTTCTGAGGGGGCGGTCGAGGTGGGAATGGAGATAGCCTGGTTTCTTCCATGGCCTTATTCGCAGGATCCACAAGACTACCGTTCAGATGTAGCCACGGTTTGGTGTTGGGGACTGTTCGATTGGAGGCCTTGGATAGATCCTGAGAGAAGTTCTTGTCAGCTTGACTGATTTCTCCCAAAACTCATGAGCTTCCATGTCGATTCCATCTAACCTTTGTAGCTGCATACCGCAGGATACCGGCTCCCTGGATCATTTGCTCAGATCGTAAAGAATGCAATCTCAACGCATAGTCTCCAGCAGGCTTGTCCAATTTGACTAGAATGCTGCATAGGACACGGATCAGTAATTCGAAGCAGAATGTGAGTGAAGCGCATGGTTTGGGGCTCACCTCGTTCTTTCGCCGAGATTGACATGAGTTCTAACCACTTTCTGCGGATGAACAAATTCGCCATCAGCCCCTACAACCCAGAATTCATGCTCGTCAATACTGATAGCCAAAGAATGATGAGCACCAGAATGGATGAAATTGATCCAGATCCATTCTTCTCCGGGATTAGCTTGGATGACTTCCAGTTCTGGATGTGTCTCGGTGCAGTATTCAGGGTTGGTGTACTCATGGCCAGGAATCATGTAGCGACAGCCCCGCTCATTGCGCCCAGGTCCGCCAGCATCTTCGAGATCACGACCAGACTCGCATCGCGTACCACCCCTCCCGTTGAGAGTCAGACTGTTGGCACAAATTGGGATATATCCGGTATCACGGAAGCGGATGAGATACATGTCCATCGGCTGATCATTCCAGTCGGCAACTATGACGTGTCGTGGATTGCTCTCCGCTGCTCGCATGGCCCGGATATCGTGCTCATTATCAGATATGAGATGGTACGGTCGAGGACGCCAGGCAGCTGGCACAATCCAGATCGGACCCCTTTGGCCCTGATTACATCCAGGTCAGGCTGATCGACGAGTTTCAAGCGATAATAAGTACCACTTACATCAGAGAAGGCGGGGCCAAAGTGCCCATGATAGAAGTAGCTTCCATACTGCCCTTCAGGTGTGAATCGATAGGTGTAGTTGTCTCTGGGCTCGGTGGCCCACTTCGTATTATTAGATGACCGGTGACTGACGCAGGTGATGTTTAAGGGAATGCTTACCTGGGTAACGCCTGGTACGCCATCGTTCCAGGGCTCGTGAATTTGGTAGATACCGTGCCTGTGTGACCTTAGATATTGTCTTATTTCACGAAAAATAGTCTGCACAAGAGTATACCAGTGAATTGTGGTTTCAATTGGTAGTTGATTGTCCACGAACGCTTCGAGGGTTTCTCCTTCTTCAACAGTAAGTATGGGCCCAGGAGTGTCTCCGTTGATTAGATAGGTCGGACGACCATGACCATCTGCGTCTCAGTCAGAAAGAATAACTGAACAGTGTCAGTCAGGTCGCACCTTGTTTATCCCAAGCATACGTTAATGTGAGATTATATCTTCGGACTTCCTTGCTCACGACCACAGCAAGCGCTGACAGAAAGAAACCCACGACTCTGACATGCATCATGTCAAAAACGCTACTTCAATCTCATTCACAAAATGTCCTGGCACCTTTTGGAAGAGCCTGATGAGGGCGATAGTAGGATGGACTCAAAATTCCCTGTAGGATGTTTGGCACCGGTGTAAGTCGAGCCTCTGCTGTGGTTCTGGCCATACTACCTGCACCACACGGTCGGCCCCCAACTCACAGTCGAACCTCCGATAGCTTCTTAGAGATCCGCGTCAACTATACCAATCTCTCTAGATCAGTAATCTCCATCCCGGCCCATCAGGTGCCGGTGCATTGACGACAATCCCACTAGCTCCGGGATGAAGCTTCAGGTCCGAGTCATTCGTACCGGCACGGAACCCGAGTACTCCCCGGGGTAGGGATCCAAGCTGTGGAGTAATCCAGGGAGTAGCAGTGTTCATGCGGGGGGACAAGCGAGGTTCAGTAAGTGCCATTCTGGGAAACCATCGCAACTACATTGTTTCATTGTTCGAAACTAGTATTTCCGAGTCCTTCGGACTTTACATTGAGTGAGCGGTGTTGTGACCCAAGGAGACTTTCAAAATCCTATCCCAGCAACCTTTCATGAACAAACTGTCACAAGCGTGGCTCCACGTAATTGTCAGGGTTGCTGTCCAAGAACTCATTAACCCTGGCCGCGTTATTCTCAGCATACTGCCAGATGGACGCGTGTCCAGCACGAGGCCAAATGACTAGCATGCAGTTGGGTATCCCATCCAGAAGCTCATAGCTCCTTGGAGTAGGGACCAGGTAGTCATCGTCGCCCGTCATAACGAGCACGGGCATTGTTAGCTCGTGAAGCCTATAGTACGAATGTTTGTTTTTGTCACCCGGCGCACACCAGTTCTTGATACACGACAACTGTATCATGAAGCTTTCCACGTCGTTGAAGGTTGGGAGTGCTCCATCGGCAGCATTTTCGTTGAACTCACTCTGTCGCAGGCGTTTGAAGTAAGAGTCGGCGGCCGCTCTGCCTTAGTCATCATTGCGAAAGAAAGTCAGAGTGTAAGCGGCCTGCCAGTCCGCCTCAGAGGCACTGCGCTGCAAGGACAGGAAACGATCCAGGTTCGGGTCGGTCCGGGGCCAAAAGTGGTCCCCTGGCGTTGGCCCGGAGGGATCAGCTCCGACTAGGATCAGGCGCCTCACTCTATCTGGCTTTGATAGCGTTGCCATTTGGCAGGCCATGCTTCCGATGGAGAAGCCAAGCAAGTCAATGTAATCGAGAGACAAGGCATCAAGGAATGCGTTCAAATCATCTCCCATGATATTTACTAGGGAGCATGGATCAGCTGACGGCTTTATTAATGATCAAGGTAGAGGAGCACATACTGTCGATTGGAGAGCGTTGGGTGTCGCCAGTGGTCTGTCCAACTGCCGGCGGGTCGAACATGATGACCGGGCGCTTCATAGCAAGAGGGCGTATGAACACGGGATCCCAGTAACCCATCGAGGCCCTCACCTGAAAATCATCAGCTATCGGTCCTGGATCGAGCGAGTGCCACTCACATGCATGTGCAACACGAGAGGGATACCCTCGGCGGGACCAAGTCGTCGATAGGCATAGACAATGCCATTCTTCGCCTCGACCTTCTGGACAGGGACGTAGGTGGGAAGCATACTGGTAGTGGATAGCCCAACGGAGATAATTGTTCAGTAAGTGGCTCGGGTGAGAAACCTGGGTAATGGGAACGTCTTGTGGTCTGTTTTGATGTTTGTAATGAGTGACAGATGGTTGTTTCCTGGAAAACTCGACTATCTTTGTCGATATGCTTTAGGGACTGTTACGGCGTAGAGCTACTGTTTGCAGTGAACAAGGTTCATGTCAGTGATTCGAGAAGCGATACTATCGTATTTTTCGTGTCAGTAGGGGCACATCATGAGCATTAAGGTTCTTCCATATGATCAGAGGCAGAAAGTATATTCCAGCAGAAGTCATCCGAGCCTGAATAAAGTCGTAGACTGCATGCAAGCGAATAATCGTGCAACATTCTATTACGACGAATATTAATCCACCCTCTACCAAAACTAAATACAGGCGGTAAGTTTTCACGAAAAGATCGATGATCATAAAATCAACCAAAAACTCTTTGTCAGAAGGGACAAATGAAAACTATCGTTGGGCTTTGCAGTTGAAGTTCTTGAGTCATACATAAGGTGTCGAAAATGATGGCCTGCGTGTCATGGAAACCGATGGGATGCCGAAGGGACGCCGCAAAACACGCACCGCATTATGAGCCAGTCGGATGGCTCCGAGGAACTTTATTTCGTTTGGTTTACGTCCAACTATGCAATCACCCATCGAGCCAGCTTCCTTTGACTTTACGTTGCGTATCGATCAAACCATTCGAGGTAAAGTAAGCGCCTAATAATGTTGTTGTCCATTGGGCTGTGCGAAATCAACTTCGAGCGTCTCACAATTCGAGGTTGTAGCACTTCACGTCCAACATAAACTAGCTGGAAGCTTATTGACACGAGGCGGGCGCGGGCAGAAAGAATTCGGCGTTTAACTACCTAAAACAGCACTATTCTAGGCAAATTGCCCCGTGTGCCCAAGCTTAACCAAACACTCCATCATTCTTCGGCGCGAATTCAACATGCGGCATGTGCTTCACATGGTCTGGCACCTCGTCCCGCATACTTGAATTCATGCCCTCCAGCAGGGGTACAGACATGCCCATCTGAATGCGGGGTCAGCCGGGGCCGGGGTCGCGTAGAAGGAGAATAGGAGAAAGGCCGAACTCACCGCGTAGTATTTGAACTTGTTGGAGTGTAGCATGGTGGCCCCACGGACCCGAATCTGCCACCGGAGTACTGCCCAACCCAGGGGTGGCACATCATGAACCAGCTGCAAAGGGGGATCTCGGACATTGAGGTGCTTTACTCCGGCTGCGAGCGCATGTTCCACGGTGTCCCATTTCCAGGTTGCGTTGGGCTGAGAACCGACAAGGAACATGGGGTCGCCGTGCTTGTAGAGTGGCATCACTTCGTCGACTGTGTTCTGGACGATCACGTCGACTGTGGTTCCCCACGGCAAACCACCCACCACAGGGGGCTCCACGGCCGAGACGTTTTCAACGAATAGCAGCGGTCCCATCTGTGAGTGGTACAGTTGCCAAGGCTTCTGGTTCAGAAAGAATTCGGTAACGTATCTCTCGTACCGCGAAGGCTGCTGGTCAATCTTGAAGTGAAGAGTGCGATTAGCCTTTGGGGATGCAACGAGCGCGTATGGTGCCATAGATGCCGTCGACGCCATTTTGCATGAGGGTGCGACCACGCCATCGGGTCTTACACATGGCGGCGAGCCGCTTGGTGGATTCTGAATTTCCATCGGCGCCCCATGAGCTGGGTAGCGCAACGCCTTGGAGACTGTATGTTAGCCTTGCTGAAATGATGTTTGATGGAGTAAACTAACGGGATATCTCAGAATCGAATACCCATGGAGGTTTTGAAATTTGCTGGTCGATACGAGTCGCATCGTGTAGTCGTCGCCTGGTTGATCCAGCTTTATCAATACAGTGTAGCGGGCGCCGTTCGTGATGTAGAGAACGTCGACGAGCTTAGGCCTGATGAAACCGCCGTCGTTTGCAACAATCCACATCTTGTGGTCGTCAATGCTGAAGTATACGGCATGTTCGAATCCAATGTTGAGAATATTGAGCATAATCCAAGGTCGCCCGTGGGTTTCGATCACCTGCAATCGCTGTAAGTAAACGAAGAGCTATTGTATGCGCAGCTGAAGGCCAAAGCACTTTACCTCGTAGTCAGCCTTACTGGGAGTGCAGCGAACTCCATCATTCCCTTTTTCAATCACACACCCTGACGCATCCAATAGCTTTCCGTCCAGTTCAGTGAAGTCGGGATGACGGCAGTGTCGTCGACCTTTGGAGTTAACGAGGATAGAATCGTAGCAATTCAAGTTTGTCCCTTCCCCTTTCAACTCCATAACCCGCCATCCAGCATCTCGTCGATAGTAGTTATAAACCAGCATGTGTTGTGCATTCCGTTCTGCCTCGTGAATGAGGGATAACTCTGTAGGAGACGAAGTTATTTCGTGATAAGGACGAGGGCGCGAAGGTGCCGGCGCGACGTAAGTCAGTCCGTGAGCACCGTCCATGATTCCCAGACCAGTATGGTCGGCATACCAGTTCAATCCCCAATGTCCTGTGGTATCATAACGGGAGGTGAAGTTCCCTCGTTGTAGGAGTCCATACTATCGGTTTGGTCAGCGCAGAAGAGGTAGACGAGAGAGTACAAGTTTTCATCTTACTTGGTTCAGGCCTCCAGTTCCGTCGTTCCAGAAGCCGAATCTGCCCAAATAATTCAGTCTAGTTCATGACATACACCATCATTTGAAGAAATCGCCAGCCTACTTTCGATGATTCATTCCCGACCAATGGATAGACACCTGAGCAAACAGGTCGTTATGGACGTTCAACTCAACGATATCCCCCTCCTCGGCATAGAGGGTTGGGCATGGTGTCTCTCCATTGCAAACATAGAAACCTCTCCAAAAACCACCATCTGAACAAATGCATCAGAGATATGTCACATGGTACCGTGAATTTCAGAAAACGAACCTAGATTCAGCCATCGAGCCCCAACAGTAAGATTGTACCGTCTAATTATTTGCTCGGCGGATTTGACATGCGAGTGTACGCTCGCGTCCGAGATAAGTTCGTTGTGGTGACTGACAGGCCAAAAAGTCCACCAAATCAGCATAAAGATGGTGAAAATCGACCCAACGAGGGACCAACGAGCTGGTCGTGAAGCTGGGGCCACGATCGAAGCTCGGTCCCTACGACAGCTCCGCGACTGACTCTCACCATCGACAATTGCGCCATCGATTTTATCACACTTCATAGAGAACTCCATGACGGGTGGTCTTCTCACCAAGAGACTGAGAATAAAGAAAAACAGTTTTGAAGTTAGATTCGAGGCTTGCCGGCGATGTCTTAGAGACAGAAGGTAGGCTCTTGGCTAAAGTCCTGCAAGTGCAGATCACCTAGTTTGCGTACAACGAAGGAGCGATCTATTCACCTCAGACACAATCTAGACATCTAGTCTAGCACATTTGCCATCATCGCTTGGGTGCTCTTTGCTACCCAAGGTGGGGTGCAAACATGGATCAAAACATTACTCGCATTGATGCACGGCAGAGGCCAACCGAACGAACAGCTCCGTGGCCATCGCGTGCCTCCCACACAAGCCGGGATGAAGCTAATCCAACAAGAACTAAAGTTTGACGACCAGTGTTGGGATGGAAAGCCTTGGGAAACCTTGCAAATCATCTGAAAGAACTTCCAGATCTAGTTAGATTTCCGGCAAACAGAATTCTATCACTCCGAACATGGCCTCATGAGCTAGCTACCGAGCATTTGTCGGGCAGAATACTTTCTGTGTGTACACCACTGAGATGGGGAACGAGCGTAGGTTCTACAACATCATAACGTAATATCACAACCGCGGACTAATCCGTGGTCGAATGGTATTAGCAATATCCGAAACCCTGAGAACTTCAAGAAATCACGACATCAACCCAAATTATTCGGAGGTTTCGCAAAGCAACAACTTCGTTCAGCGCTCTTGACTCGAGAGACTTCCAGTTTAACAGCTAGAACAGATCCTTCCAGGACCAGGTCCGTAGTACGCGAGGACCGGATCAGGTAATGGCTCAGCCGACCTCACGCGTGGGATCCCGCCGATCGCGTCAGACACTCTTTGGTAGAACCTTTGAATCAACTTCTTCTCTCTAAACAACGCGACCCACACAAAACACTTTGGGAGGATCATCACAACTCGCTTGTAGTAGTGAAAACTTACTTCGATTCGCGACGACAAAGATGGAATCAGCTTCAGTAGTCAGGATGCCACTTTGGGACTCGGTGAGTTATATCAAATATCGTGACAAGCTTGGCTGCTGAACGCAATAATCAGCCATTCAAAGACAAAACGAAGTCTCGAGTTAGCAGAACTAAGATCAATACGAACGGAAACTTGCAGAACAGCCTAGTCACCAAATCGGCGCTATTATCAGTGTCGAAATGGCTGCCACCGAGGGACGAGCACAGCGACTACTGGTGGAGCATGGTTGGGCCTCATTTCGCTGCGCTTTTTCGCAACGCGGACTACAGTCTGGAGGCCCAATATGAATTTCTCCTTTTCATCTATCACCAGGTAGCCCCGCGACTGGGATCGTCTCCTCGCGTGCTTGCATTGGGCTCAGCAAAGGGTGACAGCGGACTTTCTCTGGATGGAACACACATCGAGTACAGCTGGAGATGGAATGAGCCCGGCACGAAGCCTGAAATTCGTATGGTTATGGAGCCATTCAGTCGATTTGCGGGCACGTATATGGATCCTCTGAACATCAAACCAGCGACGGAGATGCTGTACTCCATGGCACCCCAAATTCCGTCTCTCGACATGAGCTTGTTTAATCATTTCATCGGGAAGTTTTACGACGCAGCACAACACAAGTACCTGGAGACTAATGAACGCCCAATCATGACAAATGTATGTCTCGGGTTCGAGTTTCTGGGGAACGAGATCCTCCCCAAGGCATACTTCTTCCCGCGCAAGCTCGGTCAAGTCGGTCTTACTCCCATGGCCGTCTGGGAAGATGCTATCACCTCTGCGGTCCCCGATACACCAACCATCGGCACCGTTTTCTCATTTGTCAAAGGAGAGGCGCCAGACCTGGGCTTGACACTCACACCGCTTTGGTTGGGCATCGACGTTGTCCGTCCAGCGGATGCGCGCCTCAAGCTCTACTGCGTCGAGGCTCGCACGTCGTTCGAAAGTGTCAAGTCCATTCTAACGATGGGAGGCAGGATTGAAGTCCCCAGAGATCTACTTGGAAAGGCCTGGGAGCTGATGAAGGCTGTTTGCAATCTCCCTGCAGACTTCCCTCAGGATCAAGATCTCCCGAAAGCACCCCGATATAACGTTTCAACCGACGGCGTTGACACTGCAGGCCTTTGGGGGACCTTTGCGTACTACTTTGACATCGGGCTTCGTCAACAAGAGTTACCCGACGTCAAGTTTTACATTCCAGTATGTCACTACGGCGCAGAGGATCAGGCGATTGCAGAGGCAATCACCAAATGGATGGTAGATAATGGTCGAGGTCAATATGTGGACGCCTACTGGGATTCTCTTCGCGACATCATACCGCACAGGGAGCTGAAGGACTCTCGCGGTGTTCACATGTGGCTGTCGATGATGATCAGAGGGGGCAAACTGCAGGTTACGACATACATTGCACCAGAGGGACACCATCCCAAGCGCCATGGAGGTGCTGCAGGAGTGCACAGAGAAATTGCTGCGCAAGTCACAGGATTCTAGAATGGTAGTTAGTTGGTCGATTTGGGCAATAAAGTTCGTACTCCAATTCTCGCTTGCGCGGCAAGGAAGACATGCCGGCGACCCTCCTGGATCTTCAGACCAACGACCCGGTGAAACAGGTCGCACGTGTCATGGATGCAACCCGCTGACCCAAAGGAATTTCTGCTTTCCTTCCGCGGTGGCAGCTCGGGACGATCCCATCCACACGGCAGAATATTGCAGTGCACATGCATAGGAAATGAGACCGTTGCGTGGAGGAGAGTTTAGCTGAGCAAACACAAAGGTAAAAGGCTGCAATGCAAGGTTTCCGGCATCCCACCACCATCATAGCTGCCGGTGAGAACATTAGCGGAGTCATGTAATGCGTGAAAAGTTTGGAGTGTGGTATCCGGATTCTTACTTTGTTTGTATACGATGGAGTCGCATTCGGCGTCAAACACCGATGCTGGCAAGCATGTCGGTTAGTTCTCATGAATCACGAACGGGCTGATCTATGAGCTCACTTTGAAGTTCTATCCATGCGCAATTGACGGTCAAAGCTCCTTGCGTCTCTTGATCCAAGCTCCGCTCAGCATGGCGTTCACGCGGTCCGGAAAACCTCAGCTGGTCGTTCCTGATGGGACTGTCGGCAGAGGAACTCCTCGTCGAAATTGAACCTCTCTATTTGTAAGTCGGCCAACAGGCTTTGAAAACCATCGATTTTTGCAACAGCTCAACCGGGTCAAACAGCCTCGCAATGAACCAAATTCGCAAATCAGTTCCTTCTATGCTGGCGTTTGGGCCTCAAGGACGAGTGCCCCACGAGGATCTTTATGAGCTACGCCGTCTCCTCAATTCCACTCCACAGCTCGCGAAAATTGTTACAGCCATTCACAAACTACCCTCAATCTGGCCCAGGTTGACGAAATTCGACTCTGAGTTGTTGCAAGTTGAAGGGGAGTCATATTTGCAATCTTTGACAGGATGGCTCACCAACGATGGGTTGCTCCCTTGTGATGAGGGGGGGCTTCCCCCTATGATCGCTTTTCCAATTAATTTCCTTGTACAAATGATCCAATACATTCTGTTTGCAAGGCAGCTGGGTAGTGGAGATTTCCAGTTGGCCATACTACCAAAGCTCCAGACAGGGGGGATTTGCGGCTTCTGTGTTGGTTTTCTCTGTGCTGTCACTGTGGCAGCTTCTCAGACTGAAGAGGCGCTTCTTGATATTACCATCCGTGCCTTGCAGCTAGCAGTCTGTGTGGGTGCCTACGTTGAAAGGGACAGGGTCCGATTTGAGTCAGGCTGTGTCTCAATCAGGGGGAGAAAGAATGTACCCCAGGATAAGGAGACGATTGAGAAGATACTTCGCAAGTTTCCCGAGGTATGCACCATTTCGCTCGCTCCGACCCGCGGAATCAAGGAGCTAATTGATCAGACTTATGTTTCTGCGACTACCGACGAGGCTTCCGTCACACTCACAACACCCCGGCATAGCCTGTCGAGTCTAAAAGATTCCCTCACAACAGTTGGGCTCGTCGCTGACGTCCCGATTAGAGGACGATTTCATTCTCCTATATATGCTCTCGAAGTAGAACGACTCGTCCACTTTTTCGAACAGGAGCTCGACCTACGATTTCCTTATCCAGACCGGCTACACGTCCCAGTCAGATCCACAAATGATGGGAGGTTCGTCACTGGAGACAGTCTCGTTCGAGCAATATTGAATAATACCCTATTATTGCCTGTAGACTGGTATCGGACGCTCAAAGTCGCAATTGGTTCTCTGCCACCGGGACAAATCTGCGTCGCGGTGGCAGGCGTCTCACAGCACTTCCCTCCATCCTTGGTTGGATATCTGGATCTTCGCTTTTTGAGCTTGCGACATCCGCCTGGACTTTCCGCGAGACCGGCTCATGATGGGTTCGCCAAGAAAGGGAAAGCAACATATTCACAAATGCAGACACCTCCCAATACCCCACCAGGTAGCATCGGCGGTGAGGGAGCAACAGGTCTAAATTGCGACTACGAATCACTTTCAGACGCGAAAAGAAAGCGTACACTGTCTGAGTTCCCGCCACACGCTGTCGCAGTCGTTGGTATGGCTGGGATATTTCCCGGCGCCAAATCGGTCGATGAGTTGTGGGATCTCATATCGGCCGGGCGATCAACAGTTGTTCCTGCACCTGAACGAGTTGGACTAGACCAACTTGCCGAAGACGTCTCCAAGGTCAAATGGTGGGGTAACTTCATTGACCAACACGATACATTCGATCACAAGTTCTTCGATAAGTCGACCCGACAGGCGACGGCTTGTGATCCGCAGCAGAGAAAGCTGCTTGAGGTCGTGTACGAAGCTCTATCATCGTCAGGGCAACTCAGTCCAGAGACGCATTCGGATCCACAAGACTACGGATGTTACATCGGAGCCGTGATGAACAACTATGCCGAGAACCTAAGCTGCCACCCTCCTACGGCATATGCAACGACGGGCACTGGTAGATCCTATCTGAGTGGTGCCATCAGTCATCACTTCGGCTGGAGCGGACCAGCCATGACTATTGATACGGCTTGTTCGTCTTCGCTTGTGGCTATACATACCGCTTGCCGTGCCATTGCGTCCGGAGAATGCAGCCGTGCGGTCGCAGGAGGCGCGAATATCATCACCTGCCCGCATGACTACCGGGATCTGAAGGCAGCGGGGTTTCTGAGTCCCAACGGTCAATGTAAGCCGTTTGATGCCCATGCCGACGGATACTGTCGTGGCGAAGGCGTCGGTGTTGTCGTCTTGAAATCTTTATTCGCTGCTCTCGAAGAAGACGATAATATTCTTGGAGTTGTTATCGGCTCTGCTACCAACCAGAACCATGAAGGAGGGCCCATAGTGGTGCCGAGTGCAAAGTCTCAGGCGAGTCTTCTGAGAAAAGTCATGGACTTGGCGAACGTTACACGTGAGGATGTGTCGTACGTCGAAGCCCATGGCACCGGCACAAGCGTTGGTGATCCGATCGAGGTTTCCAGTCTGCGAGAAGCTTTCGGTGGGGCCTCCAGAACGTCGAAGCTGTATTTCTCTTCTATCAAGGGGAGTATTGGCCACGCTGAAGCAGCTTCTGGTGCGGCCGGCTTGATCAAAACGCTTCTCATGTTGAAAAATAGCCTCATACCCCCGCAGGCTAGTTTTCAATCATTGAACCCCAACATACCGACACTGGCTCCTGATAAGATGGAGATTCCCCGACAACTAACTCCATGGGACACAAGAGATCGAATCGCTTGTGTCAACAACTATGGCGCCGCTGGAAGCAACTCAGTTGTGATGATCCGCAATGCCCCTAGAAATGAGTCAGACTTGGGGTCACTAGATGAGCAGCCAGTTGCACCATCAAAATGGCCGCTCATCCTATCCGCTTCGACTGAAGAATCGCTGTCGGAATATGCCCAGGAAGTACTTGATTTGGTGCGACGCATGGGTTCAGCGAAGCCATCAGCTTTCGATCTTCCAGACATTCTCTTTCACTTGGCCCAACGTGCCAATCATGCTCTTAAAATTGTCGTTTCGACAACGGTGTCTGATATGAAAGAGCTCGAGATGATTCTCTCCCAGGTGGCTTCAGGGTGTAGCTTGATAACAAAAGTTGTATCGCCGCCGCCGACCATCCTCGTCTTTGGTGGCCAAGACGGTCGCTATGTTGGTCTCTCAGAAGATGTGTACAAATCATCGCAAATATTACGACACCATCTGGACAGTTGCCAGCACGTCTGTCTGAACCTCGGACTCGAGGGCATTTTTCCAGCGATCTTCCAGCGAACCCCAATCTCAGACCTTGTAACGCTACACACTGCTTTGTTCGCAATTCAGTACTCCTCAGCCAGAGCATGGATGGACTGTGGGCTCAAGATAGAGGCAGTTGTGGGTCACAGCTTCGGCCAACTCACAGCACTTTGCATCTCTGGGGCTTTGTCACTGAGCGACACTTTGAAGTTAGTGGCAGGCAGGGCATTCCTTGTGGAGAAGTGTTGGGGTCCTGAGCCAGGCTCAATGCTTGCATTGAACGCTGATCGAGAGCACGTCACTCGTCTACTTAGACAAGTCGAGGGTCTTGAGGTGGCATGTTTCAACGGACCCAGAAACCACGTTGTCGTTGGTTCTGCTAAGGCTATCCGGGACGCAGAAACTTTGATCACTCGTGATGAGATGATGCGTGGCTTGGTTCGTTGTCAGACTTTGGATGTCACCCACGGATTTCATTCGGCCCTCACAGAACCCTTGCTTCAACAGCTTTTGGAGCTTGCGGAGAGTCTCTGCTGGAAGACTCCAACGATTCCCCTTGAAGTGTGCAGCGACAAACATGATGATAATATGCCTGATGCGCATCTTGTCGTGGAACATATGAGAGGCCCAGTATGTTTCCATCATGCGATTGAACGGCTTGTACAGAAACATCCCCGAGCTACTTGGATTGAGGCTGGACGAGGGACCTCCGCCACTCAGCTCGTTCGGTCATGCATTCAAACTCAAAACGGTCACTCTTTCGTGGGCCCACAGTTGACTGCCTCGTCTGCTCAAGTTTCTCTCGTTGATGTCGCGATCAAGTTGTGGAAGGAAGGGCACAGTGTGCAATACTGGCCATTCCACCGACGTCAGAGACACCAATACCAATCTCTCAGCTTGCCGCCGTACCAGTTTCAGAAGACTCGACATTGGTTACCTTATATCGGTCTAAAATACGGCGCAGAAAGTCCGGCTCGGCCTTCGACAGAAGATCCGGAACCTGAGGAGTTTCTGTCTCTCATCAAAGGTGACGGTTCGACGGAGAGCTACTTCAGGATATCAGCCAAAAGTGAGCGCTTTCAATCCTTGGTGAAGGGACACATCATGTGCGACTATGCGAGCATGCCGGCTTCGGCGTACATTGAGGCCGTCTCCAGAGCTGCTCTGAAGCTTCAAAATTTGGACCTCGCCGTATGGAGGCCCACAGTCGAAGATCTCACTATGAAGGCACCGGTTGTTTTGAAATCGGACGAAGAGCCTCCTGAAATTCTTCTAAGTATGCGACGCGTGGACAACTCTTGGCCGTCATGGGTCTTCTCTATTACAGTGGAGCCCACACAGAAGGCTGGCGAAAGCAAGGTTGAGGCGCAGGAGACAACGACTGGCATGGTGCACATCAGAGAGCGAAACGACCCTAGAGTCACACAAGAGTTCCGCCGATTTGAATCGCTAATCGGAGACTGTCGCTGGCAAAACATCATGGAGCATTCTGATGCGGAGGCCATGCAAGGGAAGCATATCTACAGAGCATTTCAGGGAGTCGTACAGTACTCAGATGCCTTCAAGGGGATAAAGGCCATCGCCAGCTTGGGGACCGAAGCCGCAGGTGTGGTAAGAATCTCGTCCGACAGCCATACGACGCTCGATCAGCGGCTTGTCGACACGCCAATGATTGACAGCTTCTTGCAATTCGGTGGCTTCCTAGTCAACTACTTCAGTACAACAACAACCATCGACAGCCTGTTGGTCTGCCATCGAATCCAGCGTTTGCAGCTCGGTCCCGCTTTCTCACCGGATGTCAAAGATTGGGTTGTTCTTGCGAATATGACTCCCGAAAACGATGAGAACGTGTCCGTCGATGTTTATGTTTCTGAGGCACAGACCAAGAAGATGGTCCTCGTCGCATTTGGTATGGGATTTACGAAGATATCTCGAACATCCCTCACAAGGATTTTACGTGGCTCCTCTAAGGACTCAACCTCGTCATCCGTCATTTCCAAAGAGGAGACAACTCTCCCATCTGAGACTAATACGTCCGGAGAGGCCAGCATCAGAAACAAGGGCCGGCCTACTAGCAAACGATTGGAGGTACTCAAGATCGCGGCTAGTATCGCTGACATTCCTATCGACGACCTTTCCGGCAAAGAGGCTCTTCCTGATGTTGGCATTGACTCCTTGGGGGCTACTGAGATGATTGGTGATATTGCCTCGGCACTGAATGTGACAATTGATTTATCTACGTTTTTACTGTTTACCGATATCAACGCCATCGTTTCTCATGTTGATAGAGAGCTAGGCTTAAAGTCTGCGAACGAGGATAGCGCAGCATCTCAAATTTTTCCAGAGCCATCGACAGGAAATGGAGGGTCGCAAAGCCAGTCAAGCTTACCAATCCAACGGTCTGCGGAACGACCCCCGAGGGAGTTCAAAGACACACCAGGGTCATGCGGTGGGTCCCATGCGAAGACAGAAGAACTGCCAACCATCAATTCCATTCACGAATCTTTTGATGAGGTGCGGCTCAACTTTGACCGGTTCGGGGCGTCGAGGAACGCTCTCGACTATTGGTCTGAGATCCACCCCGGCGATGTTCGTCTGGTCCTGGCCTACGTATCACAGGCTTTCAAGACGTTAGGGTGCAATCTACAGGCGCTCAGTCCTGGAGATAAGGTGCCGATTATAGCAAGCATTCTGCCCCGTCATCAACAGCTAGTCCGTCGGCTGTACCGTTTTCTGGAAGACGAAAACATCATAGAGTCTTCAGGGGAAATTTTCATTAGGACTACCAAGTCTATGGAAACGACATCAGGAGAACAGGTTTTCCAGGATATCATAGACAAGCACCCCCTAAACGGTCCAATTCGTCACCTGCTAAGAGCTGTAGGGCCGCATCTTGCTGCGTGCCTCGTTGGAGATTATGACGCCCTCCAAGTGCTCTTCGGCAACCGAGCAAACAAGAAGTGGCTCGACGATCTTTATCGAGAGTGGCCCATGTTAGTAACAGCCACTCATCTGCTGGGCGATTTCTTGTGTCGATCATTCAGTCATAGTAGCGGTTCTGGCCCATTCCGCATCCTAGAAGTTGGAGCTGGCACAGGAGGAACAACGCGCCATGTCGTCGACTTACTGGTCAAAGCCGGAATCCCTTTCGAGTACCATTTCACCGACCTATCTGCATCACTTGTCCAAAAGGCCAAGACTTCTTTCGCAGGAATCAGCGGCATGACCTTTGGGATTTTGGACATCGAGAGCGAGCCGACTGCTGAGCTCACTGAGGCGTTCCACGTCATCATATCAACGAATTGCATCCACGCAACTAGGAACATAACCTCAAGCCTGGCCAATCTGCGCAAGATGCTCCGTGAAGATGGTGCCCTTGCCCTGATTGAGATGACGCCAACTCGGCAGCTGTACGTCTTTGATATAATCGTCGGTCTGCTGGAGGGCTGGTGGCTTTTTAACGATGGTCGTTCCCATGCCTTGGCTGATGCGGAACATTGGCAACAGGCTTTTTCAAGCGCAGGCTTTGCAGATGTACAATGGTCTGATGGACAGTCGCTCGAGGCCAAGACTGTCAGAGTGATATGTGGGTTTCAGAAGCCTGGGTCTACCCGACTTGACACAGGTGCCGACAAAATCGAACGCGGTCAGGTAGAGATTGACGTGCAGGAAGTGGTCTACAAAACAGTTGGGTCCCAACAGATTCACGCGGATATTTATTATCCTCAAGTGGCAAACCCAGCCAAGAAGATGCCGATCGGTGGGTTGCTCAGAGCCCAGCAGGTGCTTGGAAACGGGGAATTTCTAACATGAAGCGATCAGCTCTGATGATACATGGAGGAAGTCACATCATTTTCTCCCGCAAGGATATCAGACCTCCGCAGACGCGCATCATGATTGACATGGGGCTTTTGCCAGTCAGCCTCGACCATCGGCTATGCCCAGAGTCCCGACTTGCTGACGGTCCCATGGTTGATGTATGCGATGCACTTGAATGGGCTCAAAAGATACTGCCGTACATCAAACTGAGGAACCCCGACATTAGACCTGATCCAGACAACATCGTGGTTGTGGGATGGTCCTCCGGAGGGCAGCTGGCATTGTCGACTGGATGGACGGCACCAGAGAGAGGGCTTCGACCGCCAAATGCCATCTTGGCTTTCTACTGTCCTACTGACTATGAGGATGCCTGTGAGTTGAACATGTTGCTTGCGTCTTGTGTATGAATGCTGATCTGCAAGTACAGGGTGGCAATCTCCCATTCAACCCGTTGGAGCAGAGGACTTGGGTGAAGAATATGACGTTCTAGAGGCCGTCCAAGATGAGCCTGTAAGCTTCCCTGACCACCTCATTCAACTACCTTAAGCCGTAAAAGGCGAGTTGTTACTGACTTCTATCATGTGATACAGATTGCCAACTATGGAACCATCGGTGCTTGGGAGCCCCTTTCGGATCCCCGAATTCGCACTGATCCTCGTTCTCGTATTATCTTACACATGAATTGGAAAGCCCAAACGCTACCAATCATCATTGATGGTTTACCCAGCAGAAAACTCGCAGCTTCCAAAAGAGCCGAGGTGACGGACTGGAACAACCTGCCACAGCCTTCGACAGAGGAGATCCGACGGTGTAGTCCGCTGGCCCAAGTAAAGAACGGCTGTTTCCAGACTCCCACATTCTTTATACACGGAACAGCCGACGATCTCATCCCATGGCAACAGTCCAGTCGCACAGCCGAAGAGATGAGAACCCGGGGCATCGACGTATCCTTGGTTCTAGTGCCAGACGCGCCTCACATCTGTGATGCAAGTCGTGATCATTCGTCGGAGGGCTGGCTCGCAGTTTTGAAAGCTTACAGATGGCTTGAGAAACATGCTTTCCCTGGTGATCCCAATGGACATGAAGTCAGCTACGAACCGTAATTGGCCTCCGGCTAGTTCTGGCTTTTCAGAGCAGATTTAACTCCTAGGCTTGTTATGATGACATTGGTTAATCATCATAAAAGGTGATCTGCAGTTGACGGAGGCCATTTTGCACTTCTACAAACGGCGGTCTCTTAGAAGGGATGTTTGTAGATCTAAGAAATTAACTATATCTTTGGGTAGAATGACGATCTCTCCTGGCCCCAACCCCCAGAAACCTCGCCTTCTTCAATATTGTCGTAGCGAATACCCCACACGCAATAACGAACAGGTGAGCTGGTCTGCCTGATGTTAATATGCAACGAAATATCCTGTAGTAGCTTTTATCGTCTAGATTCGTTCGACCCAAACTTTGCCTGTCTTAACACGCTTCGGCCTATGATTGGGCCTCGGCTTGGACTTCAGCTTGGAATTGCGGGCAAATACCGCAATATCGCACCTTATCTTGACCCAAAGATGCGGGATTTCTTCTTTGAGTATATTGACGAACTCGAGTGCGTTCATTGAAGAGGTTGGGGATTCTCTTACCACGTCACTGTGATCGTATACTCTTCCAAACTTGCGGTTCTGGGCATGGAATACTCTTTCTCCCCAGTACTTGCGGCAATCTGGCCTTCTTAGAACGCTTCGGTCGACCAAACTTAATGTGTCGAAGGCTTCGCCCCTTCCATCATCCTCAGAGCGCGCAGTCATATCCATCAAGAGGTTTAGAAAGCACGCTCTCGGGCCGGGCGTCTGTCGCAACTCCGCTATAGTTTTCTTGCTCGGATCAAAAGCCCAAGAGCTATCGAACTCAAAAGCAATGCTGCAATAGCCTCTCTGTCCGTACCAATAGTCGTTCCAAAATGGGAGCTTGATCCGCGATTCAAAGTTGTTGTAAGTTGCATCTTGGGGTATTTGTAAACAGAGCAGGTCTTCCAAAGGATTTACTGAGAAACCGTATGTCTTGTCACCTTCGCAGATAAGACCGATTCTTGAAGGAGTAAGGTCTCTTCTGATAGGACCACCATTATGAACGTACTTCCTCTTTACCTCCTTCCACTTCTTTTTCATTGCTTCCCTGGAGTCTCTGCATGCAGTCCACAGACCAGCGTCGAGAAAGTACTCGGACCCGTTCCCAGCTATCGACGAAACATCGACATCCTTAACTGTGACAGGGTAGGGCGTATTGCCAATGTAACTCTGAGTATATTTCAAACGTTTGGGGGGGCGTGGGGGTGGGTTTTGCGGAACAGAGCTCACTGGAATGAAGTGCAATCCTGGTCGGGATGTACGGACTGAAGCAGCGAGCTCCCAAATCATCATCCTCAATTCCGCTGGGAGGTCGGCGAAGGTTAACTGGGTCTTGGCCGACATTGTTGACGATATTTGGGGGGAACTTCAGAGCGAAAGTCAAGTCGTGTCTTGTGAGCCCGAAGGGAAACAAGAGTTGGTTGTGTTGGTCGGAAGATTTTGCACACAGTCAGACGGTGCGGTTATATTTTATCATGAACTTGACTGACCTTGTTGGTGGTGTACATCCTGGCCTTCCAAAGCGGCAATGATGTAGACAGGTACACAAACACCCAGACAGGTGTTTCCAAGTGAGCTGGTGTGTTTGGAGGTGAACAGAAAGTTTATTTGTCAAATAGAGTTCAAAAGCTATTGCCTCTCTTTCTGTCCGGATGAATGTGCGTAAGAACCCTTTTGGAACCTACCCTGATGCAGCGCCCCCCGCAAGCAAGTAAACTTGTCAAGTTCAATCAATCAATCAATCAATTATGAAGCTATCGCGAAGTAATTAAGTCAAGTTTGGCCGTCAAACTTGATTGATTGCCTTGAGGTGGGCGCTGCCCTGATGGGAATTCCAACGTTAGTGTCGATTCGGCTAGAAGGTTGTGCTTACAAACAATCATCAAGGTTATTCAACCAGTAAGGTATGTATCTGGATGTATAAGTATAAGCATGTCTAGCTTCAAACGTGTTTCGCTAAGGGCCTGCATCTATTCACGGATTGAATATTACAATCAAGCAATACACTCTTACATCGCAAGTTAGCTGCAGAAGACGTTGAAATTTCCTATCTTTAGATCAGTGGTGGAATTCAAATCATCTCCATCAAATAAAACGATTGGCGAACCGCCTTCTGGAACATCTAACACATGGCGTGAGGCCATAGGCTGACTGACTAGTAGGTTCTGCTGTTTCTATATCCCCTGATGCAGATGCATTTCAATTGACCAACCCTTTCTGAGGTCCCTACTAACTCTCTTCGCCCCGTCTACATTCCTTCGACTAAACTTCAGTGCCTTCGTATTCTTTTCCCGGAGACTCCATATCGTCTTCTTCCTCTTGAGCTAACACCGAGACGTACGCTTTAACGGAGGTACGGGACCATGTTCTAAACTCCACGAGCTCTCCGTCCTCATAAGAGCGGTCGTATGAAAGGCCAAGTGCCTTCCAATAGTCTCCCACTGAATCGATAGCTCTCAAAAAGTCAAAGGCATCCATCTCCGGTTCCATCTCCGGTGTCAGATCGTCTTCGACAACTGTGTACTCGCCAACCACGAACCCGAACGCGCGCCCCATGGAATGAAATTCCGAGTATGAACTGGGTCTTTCATATTGGCTCCGACGTATGCTCCTGTCAATCAGACATATCTGGGGTACATACGACTCCCCATTCATCTCTTTCTTGATAAGACTCAAGAAGAAGCCACGAGCCCCTGGCTCATTGACCATTCTTTCCAGCGTACCGACATCCATATCTGGCTCGATACCGACAGATCAGGAAGAATCGAATTCAACGGCAACGCTGACAAAGCCGTCTCGTCTCGAAGTGTTCCAGAATGGCAGTAATTCCCATTCGGTATGGAGACTCCAGTATGCATTGTTGGAGAAATGAAAGCAGAAGAGGTCTCTACTAACATCAACATCAAATACCCAGTCATCACTACCGTCTCGGAAAGTTCCGAATCGGATATTGTACGGCCTAGCCCTACTCAGCCTCTTCTTCATGAGCACCCAAGCAGATTCTTTGCAGGCGGTCCACATTCCAGCGTCAATAAGGTAGTCTGACTCGTTGTCTTTGACCCACGAGCGTTCGGCCCTCGGCATGACTTCCACACTGCAGCAGTAGCCTGGCACTTTTGAATCCAATCCACGTAAATCCAATCCATCAGGGATCAAGCGCCTGCCGAATGTCTCTTGTCTGGACGACTCAATAGGCAAAAAGTGAATTCGAGGCTTTGCCATAGCACAGCCGGCCAACTCCCAAATATGCAGTCGGAGCTCTGTTGGTAGGTCAGGGAAGCGGTGGAAAGTGGTAGCCGCCATCTTTGTTTGATGTTTGCCAGTGTCGTCGTCCCGAAGAAAGTATTGCGTGGGTAAGTTGATCTACTACAGAGTGTTTGCAAATCCTTCATCAGACAAAAGAGACTTTCATTAGAAATTCCATTCTAGCGGAGACCGCTTGGGTTCTACAAAGACAGATGTTCTTGGGCCCACAAGGTGGTTCAAATTTCAGCCATTCGAATAATTTGGACCGCAGCCAGTAAAGTGGGGTTTGAAACTTCCATGATCGTTCGAACCTTGAGATTCTTCAACTAAGCGTACGCAACTAAGTTCAACTTCATTACATAGTGACCAGTAAACGGGACATTCTCGACGAGCTCAACATGAGGCATTTTGAAATCAAGTAGCGCCTCAAACCAATTGCGATTGAAGTTTTGATTGAATCAATCATGAGAAAGATTTTGCTCGATTCAACTTAATGGCAGACGTCGAAGCCGTCTTGAGGCATTGTCAGCAACGATCCTACACATACTCAGTTCCAGGGCAAGGTCATCAAGCCCATCAGAATTGGATTAATCCCATTGGCGATTGCTCCTCAGACCCCGCAACGTGATGAACGCGGGGGAAAGGATAAGCAGACAAGACGCGACTGGCGGAGCGTCGCATCGGCTACATCATCACTCAATTATGGGCGCGCTAGAGCACACACAGCCCCTTTCAATCATCAGGTCTCTCATCATGAGCGGCTCATTGCAAGCCGCGTGGCCTACCCTCCTGCCTCCGACTCTCACGCTCACCGTAAAGTCAACCTCGCAGTTTCGGTGAAGAAAAGTTCCTCACTACTTCTTATTTACTTTTGGCGCCGCCACCGGATGACTGGCGAAATCAAAGGCTGAGCGGCACAGCATAGCACACTCAGAAACCGCTCTTCAGGGCGTCGAAGATCAGCTAAGCAGGGCAAAATCCTCCGGCGCCCGGGCCCGGCATCCCGCGTCGCCCCGCGCCGACAAACCGGGATCACGAGGTTGTCGTCGTTGAGGCGAGGCTTTGTTCAGCTCAAACGGCGAGGAGCCATCTCAACTTGTCGTATCTTATTCGCGAAGGCCAGGATCAGGTCGACGTCTTTTTGTCTCAGTGAACCACAACCCAATATTCTCCCACTTCAACAGTTGTCGCCATGTGGAAAAAGAACAAGACCAAGACCCCACAATACGCCTACCCCGGGCCCAGCACCGGCTCAGGTCCCATCTCCGCCGGCCCCGCTCCTCCCGCCTACACCTCTGACCCCCCATCCTCCCTCACCGACACCCTGGAAAACCTGTCCATCTCCCAGTCTCCCACCGCAGTTCCAACAGAGGCGCACTGCCTCGCACACCTCCGCCTCCTCTGCGCCTTCAACCGCCTCAAGACGGAGACAGGCTACCGCAACGGCCTCTGGAACATCTTCGACTCCCGTGCGGGACCCCAGGCCTCAGCCACCAACGGGAAAAGCGCCGCGATCCCGGACCCCGCTGAACCCAATATAGATATCCTCGTCAAGCTCCGCGAGAAGCGATGGGCCGTCTACGTCGCGCGCGCAGTCTCGCGCTACGAAGCGTGGTGGTCTTCCTTCGTCCCGGACATGCTCCTCGAGAAAGACATGCTCGACCCAGACGAGGGACGGAGGGATCGGTATGAGGGATTCGTGACACGCGAAGGCATGGTGTGGAACGCGGACATGCTGCCGCCACTGGGTTCTCCCTCCCCCTTTCTCTGCTTTCTGATGAACTGCAATCGCTGACACCTAACGCAGACGTCCTCCTCGTCTGGCACGCACACATGCTCAACCCCAGAATCTACCTCGAAGACTGCCTCCGCTACGGTCACGCCGCGCTCTGGGCGGCGGGCATGCCCTGGGCGATTGTCAATGCCGCCATCCGCGGGCCGGCGTTCGAGTACGTCGTCTCGGAGACGTGCGTCGCCCACTGGACGTCGCGGACGAACCTCGCCTGGAGGAACGAAGACGACCCAGACACGAAAGAGATCAAGTGTCCAAGCTGCGCTGCGACGGTCTCAGTCCCGTGGACGACGTGCGGGCAGGAGGAGGGTTATCAGGGGAGTCAGTACGTGAACCCGCAGTTCTTGTTCACATCATCTCCACACTCCGACTGGAACTTTCCAGAGCCGTCTTTGCCGTCAGAATGAGAAACGTATCACGCATGAACCAAACTAACACAAACACAGCCGCCCCGGCCTCTCAGGCTCCGGCCTCGCAGACGGCCACCTCTCGCAAACCTGCCCCTGTACCTTCACCATAACTCACCAAGCCCTGCGAACCGCCAAATTCCTCGCAGACATCCAAGCGTCGATAAAGCAAGGCCACGCGATGCCAGGCACGATTCTCGACCTGCAGAGCGGAATGCCGAAGCTCCTTTCATCCGCCTCCTCGAGCAGCACGTCTTCCCCGATCCCAGACCAGCTGTTCCCATCGCACCTCGCCCGTCGCGGTCTTCTCTCCCCTGTGCTCTCCCTTCTGATCCCCGGCTCCCCGACGCCCGCGTCCATGACTGCCGTCCGCGACGTGATGGAGGAGACCTTCACGGGTAAGTTCGCGGACCCGAAGAATCTGCGGGAGGTCATGTCGCGGCACGGGCACAAGAAGGTCACGGAGTTCAGGCTGAGCCTGGAAGGTCGACGGCAGACACGGAAGATGATGTCGCGATACTGGGAGAACGCCAGTCTGTTGGGAATTGATCTCGTGGGCTCCGTGATGAGGCAGGGCGTGTTTACTGAAAAGATGTGCAAGGTCAGCTCCTCCCCTCGTGACCTTTCTATGCCAAACCTTTGGGCCGAGTAAGATTACTCGTCTCAGACGCGGTGATGTTAATCAACGGTCGGCAACAGATCAACTGGCTGTCCCTCCCAACAGCCCAGCAAACAATGACCGCCCTCCTCACGAAGTACACCCGCTTCATGGCCATGGTCTCCCTCGCGTCGTCCACAAAGGACCGTGTCGCCGTGCCCACCGTCGACGTCGACCTCGCCTGGCACACGCACCAGCTTAGCCCCCGATCCTACTACGACTACACCGTCGCGGAGACGGCCGCCTTTGTCGACCACAACGATAAGGTCGACGAGGACAAGCTCAGCACCGCCTTCGAGTGGACGTGTAAGACCTACCAGGAACGGTTTGGCGAGGTGTACTCAGAATGCAAGTGCTGGTACTGCGAGAGTAAGTTTTCCTTTCACATATCCTCTGATACGACCCCCCTTCCATCTCGCGTACGAGAGATAGATAGTGACAAAGCGCGATGGCTTCACAAACCCTTGGAGACGCAAGATAGAAGATAATGGCAGAAATACGGCCGCCGCCGCCGTCCGTCGGTCTCCGGGTTTGTGAGGAGAGAAAGACTGACATTGATTCGCTATCAGCTGTAAGGGTGATGGCGCTTCCTGCAACCAAGATGTTCGCTTCAGGCAAGGAGGAAAAGCGTAAGCATGCAGCCGTCTCCCCGCATCTATGTCGTGTAACCCTCCAAGAGGCTCACCCACCCCAGTCCTCGAAGCATGGCACTCCTCCCCCGAAGCCAAAAACGTACCCATCCCGCCCGCTGCCGAATCAGCGCACGTCTCGTCGCACCCGGCGGTACATACCAACGAGACGACGTCGCGGAGAGCTCACACGCGCCCGCTGCGACTGGACTACAGGAACAGGCTCGAGGAAACGCATTCCAAGGCACGGAAGAGGGCAAACAAGACGTTCAAAGCAGATCAAGGTAAGAGGATGGGACCGAGGGGAGAGGACATGGCGAGCTTCTGGGGCAAGGAGGTTCCCGTCCAAGGGCCGTGGGCAGCGAGTCTGGCTGCCACAACAACGAGTGAAATGTACCCGTCCCCGCCTGGATTCGTTAGCACAGGGCCTGGGGCAGTGGGGAGCTGTGCCACGGGCACGTGTGGTGGTTCTGGTGGATGCGGCTCGGAGACGCTTGGTATGTGTTCTGCCGGGTGTGTTGGGGTAAGTGACAATTCTCTTGATATCTCGGTGTCTCTTTTCGTACTGCGCGAAATATGGCCCTGTTTCTTTTCGGAGTTTGTCTTATCTTTGCCGAGGCTTTTTGACGCTGACAAGGTGACAGAGCGCATGGTTCGGCGGCAAGTCCGGATGTACAGGATTCGCGGGGTCGTAGGGATTTGGCAGCACGTAACTTTGCAATATCCCATGGCTGGGACAAGCCATATCTCCGCCAGAGTCTGTTGACACGTGCTGTCATCAATGTGTGAAGTCGCAACTTGCTACCGCTTAAGCTTATTCCGTCCAGACGCAAGGTCCGATCGGAGGTCGGGATGTGGGAACCACAGGGCGTGGGGAGGGCCGCTCGCTTCCAGTTGCACGAGTAATGAGAGGGCGAAGATATGGGCCTGGTTCAAGCAAATGGTGGAAACTATGTTTAATGAAAGACAACCGTCCATGGGTGTTGTACACCGCTTACGAGTCGATCGCTATCAGCGTTTGCTTGGCCCATTGCACACAGTGGTCGACATTGATTGTTGACTCGTCGGGGCTTTGCCTTGGTGACACAACGCGCCGCTTCTCCGTCCACCTGCCTCTCTGTGCCTGGCGTGAGACATCAGGCTTCTGTGGTGCAGCCCGAGATCACCGTCGCGGGACCCTGAGAGGTCTATCATCGTCAGGCACCTCGTCTAAATCACGCAGGATCGGCACCCGGCCCCCAAAGAGGAAGGTTCGTGGAAGGCCCCGTGCACCATCGATCAAGGCCCTGTCTTTGGAGGGTTGACGTGCAGCGGAGAAGGCTCGATACCGCATCTCCTGCTGCCAATGTTGGCAGGTTTGCAGGGTGATTGACAGGGACCGATAAGATAACGTGCCGGTGCCGGCTGATATGAGTGGCTGGTCCAAGACTTGGCTTGGAGTTGGATTTGGAGTAAAGTCTCCTTGGATGAGAGGTTGCCCGCCGTGCATCGGCACTCAAAGCGAGCAATATTAGATTACTCCGCCAATAAGAAGAGAGATAAAGGGGCACACAGCTGTCAGCTTGGCCGCTGAACCCTGTGGTCCCCCCTGCGAAGCCCTATGAGACGTTCGCCTTGGGTCACACTTCAGCCGGCCAGAGTGCCTCTTTTCAGAGAAGCGCGCCGTTTCATCGTCTCAGTGTAGCTGTGTCGGCGGATTCCTGGAGGGTCGGGCTGGAGATTAACAAAGCAAGTCGAGCGTTCGTGGGGTCGGGAAGGATCGTGAGTGGCTCGACGGCATCTGGAAAGGCGGAAAGGTGGGGATGCGTCGTGGTTAGACAGAGGGAAACGTGGACTTGGTACTATCGCGACCCACCGACGAAAGTGTCTCTTGATGAGTGTCGAGAGAAAGAGGAAGGAGGCAAAGAAAACATATAAACTGACGGCGGATCTCCCGCTCTGGGCCGTCTGTTTCAGCTCATCGACAGTCAGTGCCAAGACCTTCGTTCATAAGCACCTCTAAGCCTTCATCCCTGTTCTCCGTCCGTCGCTCCGGTCACCGTCGCCAACATGAAGTTTTCCGCTGCCATCCTCGCCCTCGCCGGCGCTGCCGTCGCCGCTCCCGTCCCGGACCCGGTCGCTGAGCCGATGCCGATGCCCACTCCCGTGAGTCGAGCTTTTAAAGCCGATTTTGTTGATTTTCCGCTGACAATTCGCAGCCTGGCATTCCCACTGCTGCCTCTGCCAAGACCCAGCTTGCTGCCCTGACCGTCCGTGCCTGGACCAACACCGACACGTACGACCGTGATCTTTTCCCCCACTGGATCACCATCTCCGGCACTTGCAACACCCGTGAGACCGTCCTCAAGCGCGACGGCACCAACGTTGTCACCAGCTCCGCCTGCGCTGCCACCAGCGGAACCTGGGTCAGCCCCTACGACGGTGCCACCTGGACCGCCGCCAGCGACGTCGACATTGACCACATGGTCCCCCTGAAGAACGCCTGGGTTGTAAGTGATATTCCCTCTCCGTGTGCATGAACAAACGGAGCTCTAACACGGAATGACAGTCTGGTGCCGCTTCCTGGACCACCTCCAAGCGCCAGGACTTCGCCAACGACCTCACCCGCCCCCAGCTGTGGGCTGTCACCGACTCCGTGAACCAGTCCAAGAGCGACAAGAGCCCCGACTCCTGGAAGCCTTCTGTCTCCAGCTTCCACTGCACCTACGCTCGCGCTTGGGTCCAGGTCAAGTCCTACTGGGCCCTCTCCGTCACTTCCGCTGAGAAGACTGCCCTCACCACCATGCTTAACACCTGCTAAGCGACGCGACCATGATGTTTTGGATACGAGCGATGAAATTTGACGCGGGCTGGTGACTGCGTGTCTGATGATTGTCAGCAAACCAGCCACCAATTGGTGTTTTTTCTACTGTATTTACTTCTCTTCTTGAATATCTTTTCCCGAGAGGGCTTTGTCCACATGCGATCAGCAGCGATGGAAACACGAGACTGCCGAGAGCAGACGTAGTCACTTGGCGCTCCTGAGAGGGTTTATGACGATTGTCGGAATTGGTGCTAGGGAGGGCCAGGAGAACAAGGCCATTGTTGATAGTGTAGGTGCGTCCAAGGGAGACAAAAGATGGATGCTAGTGGAATAGCGAGTCTTGGTTCTTACTGCCTCTAATGAGAATGGCGCAAAAGCAAAACCACGCCCACGGCGTCCCATGGAATGCACCGCCCCCTCTGTGCCCGCCGTGATGCAATCGTTTTCTGGGGTCGATCGTTGAGTGCCGCAGTCGGCAATCTCGGTGCAACTTTCAGGGTCTCGTCTCGCGTAAGAAAAATACGGGATTGCCAACGCTCTTGGCGCCACAAGCGATCGCGTTCGGCTACGCTGCAGGGCGGGGCAGGGACAATGTTGAAGGTGCAGCTGGTTGACCCGTGGATGCTATGGCTGTCTCTCAGCAGGCCCCAAGAGCTAATTCTGTTCGCGACCAAGTCTAGACAGTCCGAAATTGCGCCAACCCGCCGAGACTGCGACAAGAGAATCTCTTCGTGTCCGTTTGGACAGAAGACATTGGCAACCGCAGAGTGTCGAAGGGGGGCGGGGCCTTGGCGGTTGCCCCGAGGACGGGAGAGGAATGGAAGACGGACGACGTCACTCGCGGAGGAAACGGCCGTTGGAATGCGTTTCTGGGAGTTGACGAGTCCGGGGAAAACGAGGGCGACGAAGAACGGCTTTCGAGACAGAATCCGGAAGCAGATGGCGGCGATGGATGCGGCAAGCACAGGCCAACAGCAACAGCAGCCATCAACGAGGACCGTTACCCTCGACGAAAGGACGGGACCTTGATGGCTGTCAACGCCATCTGGCTGAGATGAGAGAACTTTCGGAGATTTGGGTGCGAATGGCTTGCTGTTGGCGGTGTTGATGGTAAATGGAAACTTGACTTTTGGCGGTGCACCTTCCAAGGCAGAAAGAAACAGAGCGGTTGTGGGGCTGGCCGACGGTGAAGAAGGAACGAGGAAGAGCACTTCCCAATGCGGCAAGTACAAGGCAAGTACGAGAAAGACAAGGCGGGCCGTCGCTGCCTTCACCGCAGTCGCCGTTTCCGTGGCCTTGGCCATTGTCTTCAGCGCTCTCGACCGCCTCTCCTTTCTCCTTGCAGTCACTGCCATGGACTCTGCCCATTGTTCGGGGGCTGTGTCTTTGACTTTCCTTCCATTTAAGCCGTTGATGCATCCCTCAACTCTCCATCTTCAGTTCAACCTCATCCCAAGCATCAATCGCATCAAACCACAAACCACACTCGTTCTCTTCCGTCGAGATGATGAGATACGCTGCCCTCTCCCTGGCCCTTGGCCTGGCCTCTGCCCAGACATTCTCCGTCTGCAACCCCGTCAAGGGTGAAAGTAGGTTCCTCTTTTCACCTAGCCCTGCGATCTTATAGATGTGGCATGATACTAACTACTTCCCAGCTTGCCCTGCCAACCCAGCCTTCGGCGGCGAGGGCAACTACAACTTCCGCGACGCGAAGAGCATCGATGACCTCGAGTCCTTCTTCATCGTCGACGGCGGCGTCAAGTACAACCCAAAGGTCATGTCCTTCTCCGACGACACGGGTGGCCAAATGACCATCTTTGAGGAGGCAAACGCTCCCACACTCACCTCAAAGAACTACCTCTTCTTCGGCAAGGTTGAAGTCGAGCTCCAGGCTGCTCCTGGCCGCGGCATCGTCACCAGCATCGTCCTGCAGTCGGACGCCCTTGACGAGATCGACTGGGAGTTCGTCGGCGCGGACCAGAACCACGTCCAGACAAACTTCTACGCCCTCGGCATCAACGACTACACCCGCGCAAAGTACTACGAGGTCGACTTCAACCCCATGACCACCTTCCACACTTACACCTTGGAGTGGACCCGCGACT